ATCCTGTTTCAAACCCACTGGAGTTTTACGAGAAGGTAAAAGAAGTAAGATAGGAGATAGAGGGATGGGTAGACTGCATTTTACTGGACTGTAAGAAGGCTTTTGACACAGAACTGCACAAGAGACTAGTACAAAAGCTAGAGTAGCAGGCAGAAACAACGGGAAAAACACTGCAATGGATAAGAAAATACCTGACGGGGAGGAAACAACGAGTGATAGTATATATCAAGGAATTGGAATGGGTGCATGTGTCGATTGAGGTTCCACAAGGGCCGGTGTTGTCTCTTGTATGCGTGAATGACATGACAGAAGGAATAGTCAGAGGTGTCCCTGTTTACAGACGACGTGAAACTAATAGGAGAATACAAACGGGCAAGGACCAGAAAGGCTACAAATGGAAACAGGCTACAAGCGTGGTCTGACAATTGGCTCCCGGAGTTTAACTCCAACAAGTATAAAATTATGAAGCTTGGGGAAGGACAAAGAAGACCTCAGACTGACTACAGGCTCGGGGCCCAAAGGCTGCAAACCCCACTCAAGGAGAAGAATCCTGGGGTGAGTATCATACCAAGCACATCCCTCGAGGCGAACATCAACCAAACAACTGCTGCAGCATATGGGTGTTTGGCAAGCCTAAGAACAGCATTCTGACATCTAAGGAGTCATTCACAACACTATACACCGTGAACGTCAGGCCCATGTTCGAGTATGCAGCACCAGTATGGAACCTACACCTGCTCAAGCACGTCAAGAAATTAGAGCAAGTGTAACGGTTTGCAACAAGACTAGTCCTGAAGCTAAAACTCGACCCCCGCAGCCACATGTAGGCGAGTACACACACAAACGTAAAAATTAATTCCACTGTATTCAGGAAACAGTATTGTCTCTATATTTGCCTTCTCTATAAATGTTATAAGCAATTTGTAGAAGTTATATTGTTCAATATTATCAGATAAGAGAGGGAAGTGTTGTGGTCTCTCTCTCTCTCTCTCTCTCTCTCTCTCTCTCTCTCTCCCAGTGTATTATTATTATTATTATTATTATTATTATTATTATTATTATTATTATTACTGACGAAACAAGTCAATAAGAAAGATAATAATACCTCATAAGTTTAGTCTGAGTAGCTGCAAATTTAAAACTTTACTAAAACGGTTAAAAAACTTGGGAATAGTTGGCATTGCTGAAGAATGCTTCGACTGATCGGCTTCACACCTTTACCATTGATGGGATTTATTAAAATAAAGCTTGTCACTCTGACAAGCTTTATTTTAATAAATCAATTTGTGGATATGTATCACCAAGGTTTATACCACACTGGTTTTTCTTGTGTTTGCAGTCAAACTGACACAAGGTAGAGAAGAACAATATTCACTATTACCTGGAGAGAGTTCCGGGGGTCACCGCCCCCGCGGCCCGCTCTGTGACCAGGCCTATACTAAGAGATGTAACAAGAATAAAAGATTAAGCCTGGAAAGTACACACAAATGTGCCACACACATACATATCTTCAACAGAGGGAAGATAAGTTGAGCTGAATATCGGTACATACACGGGTTCATATTGAACACGGGTTCATGCCTATATTGAACACTGGTTCATACATATACTGAACATTTCTGTTTCACGTTACTCGCTGGAAAATTAAAAGCTTATTTCACAGCCAAAATTCCATTTGGTAATTACACACAGTCACTGACCTGGTAAACACGTTCAGAAACCAGAGTCTAACACGTTCAGAAACTAGAGTCTAACACGTTCAGAAACCAGAGTCTAACACGTTCAGAAACTAGAATCTAACACGTTCAGAAACCAGAGTCTAACACGTTCAGAAACTAGTCTAACACGTTCAGAAACTAGAGTCTAACACGTTCAGAAACTAGAGTCTAACACGTTCAGAAACTAGAGTCTAACACGTTCAGAAACCAGAGTCTAACACGTTCAGAAACTAGAATCTAACACGTTCAGAAACCAGAGTCTAACACGTTCAGAAACTAGTCTAACACGTTCAGAAACTAGAGTCTAACACGTTCAGAAACTAGTCTAATAAGTTCAGAAACTAGAGTCTAACAGGTTCATAAACCAATCTAACACGTTCATAAACCAGAGTCTAACAAGTAAAAGGACACAAGTGCAACTAATGTGACATTTTATTGTGGCAACGTTTCGCTCTCCAGGAACTTTATCAAGCCATTACAAACAATACATGGACACAGAGGGTATATATAGGCTCAGAGTGAGGTGCAATACTAGTGGTAGTGGTAGTGGTAGTAGTAGTAGTAGTAGTAGTAGTAGTGTCATTACTACTACTACGTTCATTCATAAACCAGAATCTAACACGTTCATACACCAGAGTCTAACAGGTTCATACACCAGAGTCTAACACGTTCATACACCAGTCTAACACGTTCATACACCAGAGTCTAACGTTCATAAACCAGAGTCTAACACGTTCATACACCAGAGTCTAACACGTTCATACACCAGAGTCTAACACGTTCATACACCAGAGTCTAACACGTTCATACACCAGAGTCTAACACGTTCATACACCAGAGTCTAACACGTTCATAAACCAGAGTCTAACACGTTCATACACCAGAGTCTAACACGTTCATAAACCAGAGTCTAACACGTTCATAAACCAGAGTCTAACACGTTCATAAACCAGTCTAACACGTTCATAAACCAGAGTCTAACACGTTCATAAACCAGAGTCTAACACGTTCATAAACCAGAGTCTAACACGTTCATAAACCAGAGTCTAACACGTTCATAAACCAGAGTCTAACACGTTCATACACCAGAGTTTAACACGTTCATAAACCAGAGTCTAACACGTTCATAAACCAGAGTCTAACACGTTCATACACCAGAGTCTAACACGTTCATAAACCAGAGTCTAACACGTTCATACACCAGAATCTAACACGTTCATACACCAGAGTCTAACACGTTCATAAACCAGAGTCTAACACGTTCATACACCAGAGTCTAACACGTTCATAAACCAGAGTCTAACACGTTCATACACCAGAGTCTAACACGTTCATAAACCAGAGTCTAACACGTTCATACACCAGAGTCTAACACGTTCATACACCAGAGTCTAACACGTTCATACACCAGAGTCTAACACGTTCATACACCAGAGTCTAACACGTTCATAAACCAGAGTCTAACACGTTCATAAACCAGAGTCTAACACGTTCATACACCAGAGTCTAACACGTTCATACACCAGAGTCTAACACGTTCATACACCAGAGTCTAACACGTTCATACACCAGAGTCTAACACGTTCATAAACCAGAGTCTAACACGTTCATAAACCAGAGTCTAACACGTTCATACACCAGAGTCTAACACGTTCATACACCAGAGTCTAACACGTTCATACACCAGAGTCTAACACGTTCATAAACCAGAGTCTAACACGTTCATAAACCAGAGTCTAACACGTTCAGAGACATGATTATAACCTATAAAACAAACAAAATTATAGGGAAAGTGTATAGCTGGAAGTTAATAAGCAAAATGATTGTTGGAAATACTTTTTTAGTGTCCAGATGTAAGTGAAGGCAGCAGTGCGGGAGACAAACTCCATACACAGTTTTAAGAGTAGGTAAATTACGGTCCCAGCAACCAGGAACCAATTATGCCGGTTGACTGTAGGCTGACTAAATGACAGAAGGAGAAGACTAATGCTGGTTAGGGCAAGTAAGTGAGCTTATGCTCACTAGGGTTACAACTTTTCTGTACAGCGTAACATTCCTGTACCTTAATCAGATGAACTTTTGCCTAAAAGCAAAGAAATTACCTTTTATTTTAATATATTTTTAGAAAATGCCGCCCCTAAATTAAAAAAAAAAAACTAAAACAAGTAACTTGAATGCATATTGGATGTAATATTAATAACAAATAAAACAGCTTACAACGACATCATTATCATGTTTGTACATATATTACTAGTTACTGCTTATAATAAACCCAAGTTGCAATTGGATTTTGTTCCTGCAGGCAGCATACAGTTCCTGCATAACTCTGATTGCACGTTTAGCACACTGATTACTTCTCGGTATATTGAGTGCAGACGGCTCCTGCTTCCACTGATTTTTCAATGAGTTCAGTGCTTTTTTGTAGGTTTCAACATTTCTGACAAATTCTTGAAGTCATTTTCATCGTTCATCTGATCAGTAAACCAATAATCTATCCAGGTGTATTAAATGAATCTGCATATCTTCTGCAAAGTCTTCCGTCTTATAGGTATAAGAATCAATACAAGAATACCAAGAATGGCTCTTGAATTCCACCTCGCACTGCTGCTGTTTGGAATTTTCTGAAAGTTAATCAAAGGAAAGTGACCTTTTTCTTCAAGGAATCTAAACACTCGTGTTAGATGGTACAAAAACTTCATATCATCTCTCCATCCTGATTTATGGAGGATCTCTTCTGTCCCATTAACAAACTGTCTCATAATTCTTCACCAGTTGGGATACAAACGGATACTTGATGTTTGGAGAACTGGTTTTAGCACCAAGATTTTCATCCATTACCAAACGTAGAATCCTGTCCAGAACGTGATGCTGACAACTGATAAATTGTGGTTTGCTAATCCCCTTCTCTTATTATTATTCTTATAAATATTTTTCATTAATCTGAGTTGCCAATTAGTACTTTCCTGAGTTGCTACTTATGAGTAGTAACGCAGATATATGGTGACTCATAGTTTTTATTTAGCGGTGACCTTTCTTGAAAGCTGAGAGGAATTAGGGGCTTTTTCAATGTTATTAAACAAAAGTTCATCGATTTATGGCACAGGAGATGTTTTATTTGGAAAAAAGTAAAAAACTTATAACCCTAAACTGTCACCTTGCTGGTACCTGCCAGTGGTGTTCCACAGGTCCTTGATTAACCTTGCTGGTACCTGCCAGTGGTGTTCCACAGGTCCTTGATTAACCTTGCTGGTAGTGGTGTTACATAGGTCCTTGATCACTAACCTTGCTGGTAGCTGCCCTTAGTGTTACACAGGTCCTTGATGACATGGATAGTGCCAGCATACAACTTGTTGAAATACTCCCGGTGCTTCTGTGTCAGACATCTCCTCGTGTAGTTGTCGATGCACTGCAACCCGTTGAGTAATACTCTGTGGACACCAACACAGGTGGTCATTACTCTCTCTCTCTCTGGTCATTTGTAGTCATTATACTCACACACCAACACAGGTGGTCATTACTCTGATCACTTGTAGCCAATATACTCAATTATACAAGTGGTTAACATTGGTTCCATGGTGACTGTAGGTCTTAAACTCACACATATGAACACTGTCTATACAGTCTGCAGTTAATAACTCGACACCAAACATCAACATCACAATACTATCAGTGAAGAGTAACGACCTCAACTCACGGACACATTCTGTTAAGCTCGTCTACGGAGGCAGCAAACCCGAGGTCCTTATTGGTGAGGACCGCGAGCAGGTTGATACATACTGTGATGTCTTTCTCGTTGCAGTCGTGTGTGTGAGTGTTGCCTCGCCCTCCACCCCAGCTCTCCCCAGCATCTGGCGTCTCCTGTACACAACATAAACTTAATAATAAAATAATTAATTACTATACGTTCACAAGTAATTACAACTAATCTACAAACGGGAGATAATGCAAGACGTCTTTCATTATTACTTGGCCACTCGTGATTTTAAAAATGCTTCAGCAAGGACTAAACATCTAGTTTAATCTTCAATGTCCGTTTTAGTTGTCAATATTTCCAACCAGCAAGTAATTATACGAAAACTATATAGGTAGATAGACGCATAGGTGAGAGGCGCCACACATATTAGAGGAAAGTTAATGATATACATCTGAGGCAAGATCATTCACTTAGCAACACATCAGGATTAATATTTTTATTATGTACCTCATACCAATCCTGTGGGCGGTAGTCAAACAGCACATCCAATAGTTATTATTTTTGAATGTTCTACATTGATGAACTAGAAGAAGACAATAAGTGCCAGTGGGACAGCCTACAATATGACTGAGATACTCTTAAGACACAAGATAAACAACACATTATAATAAGCACAATAAACATCTTATCCAAGATAAAAATTTTCGCCAATTCACCATCGTTCTTCAAAATTATTGCATATTTCCAAGTGTACAAATTAAAACACAAAAAGACAATAAAACAATCTAGCAAATGTAATCTAGCAAAACTGATAACTTTTCGTGAAAAATGTTTGATGTATGAGAATAAGAGAGGTACTTCAAGCGTCGAAAATGTAAGTTTGATCAAATTAATTTCTGAAGCCTCTGACATCATGGGTTAGTAACAGTGTGGGCCAGCTCTGACATCATGGGTTAGTAACAGTGTGGGTCAGCTCTGACATCATGGGTTAGTAACAGTGTGGGTCAGCTCTGACATCATGGGTTAGTAACAGTGTGGGTCAGCTCTGACATCATGGGTTAGTAACAGTGTGGGTCAGCTCTGACATCATGGGTTAGTAACAGTGTGGGTCAGCTCTGACATCATGGGTTAGTAACAGTGTGGGTCAGCTCTGACATCATGGGTTAGTAACAGTGTGGGTCAGCTCTGACATCATGGGTTAGTAACACAGTGTGGGTCAGCTCTGACATCATGGTTAGTAACAGTGTGGGTCAGCTCTGACATCATGGGTTAGTAACAGTGTGGGTCAGCTCTGACATCATGGGTTAGTAACACAGTGTGGGTCAGCTCTGACATCATGGGTTAGTAACAGTGTGGGTCAGCTCTGACATCATGGGTTAGTAACAGTGTGGGTCAGCTCTGACATCATGGGTTAGTAACACAGTGTGGGTCAGCTCTGACATCATGGGTTAGTAACAGTGTGGGTCAGCTCTGACATCATGGGTTAGTAACAGTGTGGGTCAGCTCTGACATCATGGGTTAGTAACAGTGTGGGTCAGCTCTGACATCATGGGTTAGTAACAGTGTGGTCAGCTCTGACATCATGGGTTAGTAACAGTGTGGGTCAGCTCTGACATCATGGGTTAGTAACAGTGTGGGTCAGCTCTGACATCATGGGTTAGTAACAGTGTGGGTCAGCTCTGACATCATGGGTTAGTAACAGTGTGGGTCAGCTCTGACATCATGGGTTAGTAACACAGTGTGGGTCAGCTCTGACATCATGGGTTAGTAACACAGTGTGGGTCAGCTCTGACATCATGGGTTAGTAACAGTGTGGGTCAGCTCTGACATCATGGGTTAGTAACAGTGTGGGTCAGCTCTGACATCATGGGTTAGTAACAGTGTGGGTCAGCTCTGACATCATGGGTTAGTAACAGTGTGGGTCAGCTCTGACATCATGGGTTAGTAACAGTGTGGGTCAGCTCTGACATCATGGGTTAGTAACAGTGTGGGTCAGCTCTGACATCATGGGTTAGTAACAGTGTGGGTCAGCTCTGACATCATGGGTTAGTAACAGTGTGGGTCAGCTCTGACATCATGGGTTAGTAACACAGTGTGGGTCAGCTCTGACATCATGGGTTAGTAACACAGTGTGGGTCAGCTCTGACATCATGGGTTAGTAACAGTGTGGGTCAGCTCTGACATCATGGGTTAGTAACAGTGTGGGTCAGCTCTGACATCATGGGTTAGTAACAGTGTGGGTCAGCTCTGACATCATGGGTTAGTAACAGTGTGGGTCAGCTCTGACATCATGGGTTAGTAACAGTGTGGGTCAGCTCTGACATCATGGGTTAGTAACAGTGTGGGTCAGCTCTGACATCATGGGTTAGTAACAGTGTGGGTCAGCTCTGACATCATGGGTTAGTAACAGTGTGGGTCAGCTCTGACATCATGGGTTAGTAACACAGTGTGGGTCAGCTCTGACATCATGGGTTAGTAACAGTGTGGGTCAGCTCTGACATCATGGGTTAGTAACAGTGTGGGTCAGCTCTGACATCATGGGTTAGTAACAGTGTGGGTCAGCTCTGACATCATGGGTTAGTAACAGTGTGGGTCAGCTCTGACATCATGGGTTAGTAAGTGTGGGTCAGCTCTGACATCATGGGTTAGTAACAGTGTGGGTCAGCTCTGACATCATGGGTTAGTAACAGTGTGGGTCAGCTCTGACATCATGGGTTAGTAACAGTGTGGGTCAGCTCTGACATCATGGGTTAGTAACACAGTGTGGGTCAGCTCTGACATCATGGGTTAGTAACACAGTGTGGGTCAGCTCTGACATCATGGGTTAGTAACAGTGTGGGTCAGCTCTGACAGCATGGGTTAGTAACACAGTGTGGGTCAGCTCTGACATCATGGGTTAGTAACACAGTGTGGGTCAGCTCTGACATCATGGGTTAGTAACAGTGTGGGTCAGCTCTGACAGCATGGGTTAGTAACAGTGTGGGTCAGCTCTGACATCATGGGTTAGTAACAGTGTGGGTCAGCTCTGACATCATGGGTTAGTAACAGTGTGGGTCAGCTCTGACATCATGGGTTAGTAACAGTGTGGGTCAGCTCTGACAGCATGGGTTAGTAACAGTGTGGGTCAGCTCTGACATCATGGGTTAGTAACACAGTGGCTCACAACAGTAGAACCCGGATTCAATCCTGAGGGGGCCCCCCTTGTTCTCCTAGCAGTAAACAGGTACCTGGGAGTTAGCTGACGGTTGTAGATGGCATCCTGGGGTGTGGTCATATATTTTAAAGAGAACAATGAGCTGAGGAAGGATAAAACAAACAAACACACACACACACACACACACACACACACACACACACACACACACAATGTTCCAGAGATGGGACACAGAAACAAGGGGTCACAATTGGAAGCTGAAGACTCAGATGAGTCAAAGGGATGTTAGGAAGTATTTCTTCAGTCATAGAGTAGTTAGGAAGTGGAATAGTCTGGCAAGCGATGTAGTGGAGGCAGGAACTATACATAGTTTTAAGACGAGGTATGATAAAGCTCATGGAGCAGGGGGAGAGAGGACATAGTAGCGGTCGGTGAAGAGGCTGGGCCAGGAGCCGAGTCTCGACCCCTGCAACCACAATTAGGTGAGTAGGTGAGTACAAAGAGTCGACCCCTGGAACTACATATAGGTGATTACACATGCACTTCAGGTGCTAAGACAGACCAACTTACCTGGAAGTTTGAAGCGACAACATGGAAGTCAGCGGTGAGTGAGTCCTTGTTGAAGTATGCAGTATGTTGTTGTTGAGAGCTATCAGATGAGTGTAGTGCTGACCCACTCTCGTGACCTCTACCACTCTCGCCTCCACCCAACTCTTGTGATTCACTCTCACCTGCAACAAAATCAAAGATAAATATCTCAGAGTCATCATGTGGTAGCCTCCAATAACACATACACTAGTCTGCCTTCCTCCACGTATGTGTGTGTGTGTGGGGGGGGGGAGGGGAGGGGAGGGGAGGGGAGGGGGGGAGAGTAGGTTAGGAAGTCATCACAGGGGAACACTAGGTAAGGATCAAAACTCAGGGGAACTAGGGTAGGGACATCATCACAGGGGACACTAGGGTAGGGACATCATCACAGGGGACACAAGGTTAGGGAGTCATCACAGGGGGACACTAGGGTAGGACATCATCACAGGGGGACACTAGGGAAGGAAAATCAATCACAGGGGGACACTGGGTAGGACGTATCACAGGGGACACTGGTGAGAGACATCATCACAGGGGACACTGGGTAGGGACTCATCACGGGGACACTAGGTAGGGACATCATCACAGGGGACACTAGGTAGGGACATCATCACTAGAGGACACAAGGTAAGGACATCATCACAGGGGGACACTAGGGTAGGACTCATCACAGGGGGACACTAGGGTAGGGACATCATCACAGGGGGACACTAGGGTAGGGAATATCACAGGGGACACAGGGTAGGGACATCATCACAGGGGGACACTAGGGTAGGGACATCATCACAGGGGAACTAGGGTAGGGACATCATCACAGGGGGAACTAGGGTAGGGACATCATCACAGGGGGACACTAGGGTAGGGACATCATCACAGGGGGACACTAGGGTAGGGACATCATCACAGGGGGACACTAGGGTAGGGACATCATCACAGGGGGACACTAGGGTAGGGACATCATCACAGGGGGACACTAGGGTAGGACATCATCACAGGGGGACACTAGGGTAGGGACTCATCACAGGGGGACACTAGGGTAGGACATCATCACAGGGGACACTAGGGTAGGGACATCATCACAGGGGACACCAGGGTAGGGACATCATCACAGGGGGACACTAGGGTAGGGACATCATCACAGGGGGACACTAGGGTAGGGACATCATCACAGGGGGACACTAGGGTAGGGACATCATCACAGGGGGACACTAGGGTAGGGACATCATCACAGGGGGACACTAGGGTAGGGACATCATCACTAGGGGACACTAGGGTAGGGACATCATCACAGGGGGACACTAGGTAGGGACATCATCACAGGGGGACACTAGGGTAGGGACATCATCACAGGGGGACACTAGGGTAGGGACATCATCACAGGGGACACTAGGGTAGGGACATCATCACAGGGGACACTAGGGTAGGGACATCATCACAGGGGGACACTAGGTAGGGACATCATCACAGGGGGATACTAGGGTAGGGACATCATCACAGGGGACACTAGGGTAGGGACATCATCAGAACAGGGGGACATCATCACAGGGGGACACTAGGTAGGGACATCATCACAGGGGACACTAGGGTAGGACATCATCACAGGGGGACACTAGGGTAGGGACATCATCACAGGGGACACTAGGTAGGGACATCATCCAGGGGGACACTAGGGTAGGGACATCATCACAGGGGGACACTAGGGTAGGGACATCATATCACACAGGGGGATATAGGGGAGGGTCATCACACACTAGGGGGACATCATACAGGGGGACACATAAGGGAATCACAGGGGGACACTACGTAGGGACACCAGAGGGGACATACAGGGACACTAGGAGGGACAACAGGAGGGACTCATAGGGGGACATATAGGGGACACAGGGGGACACTAGTAGACATCACACAGGGGGACATAGGGTAGGGACATCATACGTAGGGACACATAGGGGACAACAGGGGGACACTAGGTAGGGACACATCAGGGGACACTAGGGGGACCACAGGGGGACACTAAGGGGGACCTAGGGTAGGGACCACAGGGGGACACTGGGCACACAGGGGGACACTAGGGTAGGGACATCATCACAGGGACACTAGGGTAGGGACATCATCACAGGGGGACACTAGGGTAGGGACATCATCACAGGGGACACTAGGTAGGAGGACATCACAGGGGGACACTAGGGGGAAAATCATCACTAGGGGGACACTAGGTTAGGACATCATCACAGGGGGACACTAGGTGGGACATCATCACAGGGGACACTGGGTAGGGACATCATCACAGGGGGACACTAGGGTAGGGACAACACAGGACACAGGGGACACAGTAGGGACTCACAAGGGAGGACAATAGGGGGACATAGGAGGACATCATCAGGGGGACACTAGGTAGGACACATCACAGGGGGACACTAGGTAGGGACATCATCACAGGGGACACTAGGGTAGGGACACAGCACAGGGAGGACATCTAGGGGACCACAGGGGGACATACAAGGGAACTAGTATCACCAGGGGGACACTAGGGTAGGGACATCATCACAGGGGACACTAGGGTAGGGACATCATCCAGGGGACACTAGGGTAGGACACATCACAGGGGGACACTAGGTAGGGCATCATCACAGGGGCACTAGGTAAGGGAACATCACAGGGGACACTAGGTAGGGACATCATCACAGGGGACACAGTAGGGACATCATCACAGGGGACACTAGGGTAGGGACATCATAGAGGGACACTAGGGGGACATCATAGGGGACATCTACGGGGGACACTAGGGTGGGACATCACAGGGGGACACTAGGTAAGGACATCATCACAGGGGGACACTAGGGTAGGGCATCATCACAGGGGACACTAGGTGAAGACACAGGGACATAGGAGGGACATCCAGGGGGACACTAGTAGGGTCATCACAGGGGACACTAGGTCAGGGGACACTATAAGGGGACACAACAGGGAACATAAGGAGGACACTAGATAGGGGAGGGGACACTAGGGTAGGGACATCATCACAGGGGGACACTAGGGTAAGGACATCATCACAGGGGGACACTAGGGTAGGGACATCATCACAGGGGGACACTAGGGCAAAGACATCATCACAGGGGGACACTAGGGTAGGGACATCATCACAGGGGGACACTAGGGTAGGGACATCATCACAGGGGGACACTAGGGTAGGGACATCATCACAGGGGGACACTAGGGTAGGGACATCATCACAGGGGGATACTAGGGTAGGGACTCATCACAGGGGGACACTAGGGCAAAGACATCATCACAGGGGGACACTAGGGTAGGGACATCATCACAGGGGACACTAGGGTAGGGACATCATCACAGGGGACACTAGGGTAGGGACATCATCACAGGGGGATACTAGGGTAGGGACATCATCACAGGGGGATACTAGGGTAGGGACGTCATCACAGGGGGATACTAGGGTAGGGACATCATCACAGGGGGATACTAGGGTAGGGACAATCATCACAGGGGACACTAGGGTAGGGACATCATCACAGGGGGATACTAGGGTAGGGACATCATCACAGGGGGATACTAGGGTAGGGACATCATCACAGGGGGATACTAGGGTAGGGACATCATCACAGGGGACACTAGGGTAGGGACATCATCACAGGGGACACTAGGGTAGGGACATCATCACAGGGGGATACTAGGGTAGGGACATCATCACAGGGGGACACTAGGGTAGGGACTTTCATCACAGGGGGACACTAGGGTAGGGACATCATCACAGGGGGACACTAGGGTAGGGACATCATCACAGGGGGACACTAGGGTAGGGACATCATCACAGGGGGACACTAGGGTAGGGACATCATCACAGGGGGACACTAGGGTAGGGACATCATCACTAGAGGACACCAGGGTAGGGACATCATCACAGGGGGACACTAGGGTAGGGACATCATCACAGGGGGACACTAGGGTAAGGACATCATCACAGGGGGACACTAGGGTAGGGACATCATCACAGGGGGACACTAGGGTAAGGACATCATCACAGGGGGACACTAGGGCAAAGACATCATCACAGGGGGACACTAGGGTAGGAACATCATCAGAGCACAGCTGCTGGTGTGAACACAGCTGCAGGTGTGAGCACTGCTGCTGGTGTGAGCACTGCTGCTGGTGTGAGCACTGCTGCTGGTGTGAGCACTGCTGCTGGTGTGAGAACAGCTGCTGGTGTGAGCAATGCTGCTGGTGTGAGCACAGCTGGAGTGAATACTGATCCTGGTGTGAGCACAGCTGCTGGTGTAAACACTGTTGCTGATGCTGGTGTAAGGCCTGCCGGTGGTGTAAGGGCTTGTGGTGGTGGTGTAAGGGCTAGTGGCGTGGTGGTGTAAGGGGTGGTGGTGGTGGTGTAAGGGGTGGTGGTGGTGGTGTAAGGGCTGGTGGTGGTGGTGCAAGGGCTGGTGGTGGTGGTCTAAGGGCTGGTGGTGGTGTAAGGGCTAGTGGCGTGGTGGTGTAAGGGCTGGTGGTGGTGTTAAGGGCTGGTGGTGGGGGTGGTGCAAGGGCTGGTGGTGGTGGTGTAAGGGCTGGTGGTGGTGGTGTAAGGGCTGGTGGTGGTGGTGCAAGGGCTGGTGGTGGTGGTCTAAGGGCTGGTGGTGGTGGTGTAAGGGCTAGTGGCGTGGTGGTGTAAGGGGTGGTGGTGGTGGTGTAAGGGGTGGTGGTGGTGGTGTAAGGGCTGGTAGTGGTGTAAGGGCTGGTGCTGGTAGTGCAAGGGCTGGTGGTTGTGGTGCATGGGCTGGTGGCATGGTGGCGTAAGGGCTGGCGGTGGTGTAAGGGCTGGTGGTGGTGGTGGTGCAAGGGCTGGTGGTGGTGGTGTAAGGGCTGGTGGTGGTGGTGTAAGGGCTGGTGGTGGTGGTGCAAGGGCTGGTGGTGGTGGTCTAAGGGCTGGTGGTGGTGCTGGCTTGCACACTCTGGTCCACACAAAGGATGCTCTGCCCGCCTCACTCACACCATAAGGACCAAATTAGCATTCTAACACGACCTTCCTCCGCCTTAAACACACCTGCACATCCCACCCACCCATTTGAAAATCAATGAAGTGAAAATTGAGAAGTTTGCCCTAAGGACCTCAGGGCTGTTGGGTTTTCTCTGAGTC